ATACGAAAACGTTGCTGAGGGCATCAAGGTAGTAGTCTTGTACCTTGAATATCCGACAACTTCAATAGGATCTCAGCCCGGATGCCTACAGGATACCTGAAAGGATCAATAGAATGGCTTCTGGGTGGTGGGGGTAGTAAGTAATCTGTAGCCATGGAAAGAGTTAATTTTTCAGTAGGTAATTCAGTACATGTACTCTATGCACACTCCGACGCGAATCGGATCAGGTTGCCACCTGACCTGAAAGATCACTTACCAAACGAAGTAATCTGCTTCGTTGTGAACCTGGATTTATTTGGTAGAGTTGAATAGGTATGAGACGTATTAAACTTTCACAGATTGCAGTAGACTTGCAGTACACTTTAGACCTACTTACATCGTCTCCTTTGTGTGCTGTAAAACCATATTCAAAACTGGAAAATAGAATATTTTCCATTTTGCCATCAGCATTTGTTTATTCAATGTCTGCACATTCCTTCTTCATGTTGACTGCTGATTCTGGTCCAGTAAAGTGATCGTTCACAGCAATTACACAGTTACAATTAAAATTCTTGACAGCAGTAAGTATATTTTTCATAGAATTTGTATGTAAACTGTAATCAACCCAACAAAAATTCACTCTTGTCTAAAGCAAACAGTCTGAAAAGCCTCTGTTTTTCCAAACAATATTCAACAGCGTATTCGACCCATTCAATTAGTCCCACTCATTGCATCATCCTTCAGTCTGCGTATATGAGCTTGATCCCGAATGTATTCGTATCACGTAACAAAACCGACTAGCGTTCGTGCACATATTTTTTAGGGCGAGTCCTTTCGCAAGAGCCGGCAGGATAATGCAGGACACGCAAGACCGGGCACGCGGTACGCATGAACATCTAACGCCGCGGGTAACTCCTGTCCGTACCTTTCAGGCGTTTCGAATTTTCTTTCGGGAGTCTTGTGGGATCTCGAGCTGTCAACGCCAGGACGATAAAGCTTTCAACGATTCAGAGGGAACGTCTCACCGCCAAGTAGTAACCTATGTGGTTGATGACGTGACGTTTTTCTTAAAAGTTGAACGAAAAAATATTCTTGAAAAAATTTGGTCAAACATGTATCAAAGGTAAGTCTGTATCATAACGAAAGTATGAGAACTGAAAATATTTTTTGTAATATATATTGTTTTTACTGCTATGGTCATTAGTTTTAAGTACACTATGATAATAACTGTTCGAGTCACCTAGAAAACACCATAATAGTCCACATATCAATCTGCCATGGATGAAGCAGAATTAATCCAAACCAACTATAAAAATCATCACAAGAAAAAAAGCCGGTTCAGGATGAATTTGAATCTACCATCAGTGAATCAGGAATCGGAGATACTATCCTCCTGTAACATATACATTTTTAGTTTCGGGGTGTCAGTAATACGAATTTTTTTTTAAACTGTCATAATCCGTTTCCTTCTCTATCCGTTACCATCGTTTGACAATTCAAATATAACAAATCTTTATCTTTATTCTACTTTTTTTTTCATAAATAAGACATATATGTGGATGATGACATCCTTTCCATCCAAAAACTAAGTGGCAGTCAACTGTCAATAGTCAATAAAGGAATCGAGTTCGATTTCTTTTATTGGAAAGTGTGCTAACAGGGCTCCAAACTTAAGTGAGCTAGCTAGTGCTAGCTCACTTAAGTTTGTTATGTTACGGAAAATGTTACCATATATCAAAGAAGAAAATGAAACAATCTTTCAAAAAATCTGTTTTAACTGATCATATGTTGAGCAATATATTGAGCAATATATTGAACAGAGATTGTTCATCTTAATCAGAATAATTCACCTATTGATGATAAATGATAAAATGATAAATGAAGTTTCAAGAGTTTACATCTACTGTGAAAAAACTTTGTGTTCGATTTAGTAACACAATATCTTCATTTTATTTTCAGCTCTTCTAAGAAAATTATTTTTTCTGAGATATAACTATTTACTGCCATATAGAGAACAGAGAAAGAGATAGTTATAAAGATTATAATTGAATCACACTTTGAAACTACTNTTTTTCATCATTCCTAAATAATAACAATTAGATTTTTCATCACAGATATCAATTTTATTTCATCTGACATTTATTTAAAACCTATATCGGTTATCTGTTTTTCGAATTTCAATGAATTTTCATGTACAAATCTTGAATTTCAAATTTCCCACTTTTTCATCCTTGTTTCCTGTCGAGTCTGTGGGTTTCAATACATGTATAGGGTGACCTCGCTGTATTCCTGTATCTGAATTTTTCTGTGATGTTTTGAAAATCTCCATACACTGTTGTTTTTGAGTCATTTTATAACAGTATATATGTTTATATGTCTATTATATAAGAGTTGATAATATTTTTGAACAAGTCTGTACACAACCATGTTGAGATAAAATTTCGATGTTGAACTATGGTGTATGTTCTAACTTTACTTTTTATATTTTTCTATATATTCACATTTTATATTTTTATAATTACATTTGTATGTATTTTTCACAAGCTTTGTCCATTTATTCTTAATGACAATGAAGTATATTATTATTATTATCATTATCATTATTCAAGAGCTTTGTCCTCTCGTAGATTCCATATGAACACCTCAGGTGGTACCTACCTAGACTTAAAAACTTATCAATGTAACTGCAGTCGCCTCCATATGGTCGTGGTTACATTAATACTATATAGTTATCTCACTTCTGCTACCATATATGTAATTATGTGTTTTGAAAGATATCATATATTGCTACAAACAAACGAATAACTACTGTCAGTGTTTTTTTAAAGGACGGATCATTCAACTGAATCAGCGACATAGACATAGACCGGAAGTAGTAAACTTGATTACTTTGTCATCACTTCATTACTTTTCACCATTCTCAAGTCTTTTATCGTAATTTCTCCACCGGTGAAGGAATAAGTCGAACCAAGCTATCAAGGAAGCACTTTGGTAGAATTTATAGCGAAACAGATGGAAAGAAGAAATAAAGAGCTTTATACTTAGCAAAAATTTTTAGGTATATGGTCAAAAGTATTTCATGATATTACAGATGAACTGAGGTGAGCGAAGTACTAATGAAATATCTCTACCAAAAAATGAGTAGGATAATTTTTTTTCTGAATGGAGTGATCCAAAACATCCATTATCCAATGGTCCAGTCAGTCACCCTGTACTACAAAAAACCACCCAATTTATACGCCCTGCATCTTCAATGAACGAAACGCCCCAACAATCCGATTTTCACGCTTGCTCCTCGTTAGTTTTACTTCACTTGAAATGTATGGATGTAGTTAAGGACGGGAGCGGAACGAGTCAAACCAGCAATTTTTAATCCTCCCTTTATGGAGACCGAGTGCACGACGAATGTCTCCCATGAAATTCCAGAATCGATTCGAAGTTCAAGGATCTGTGGTGTGGAACAAATGTAAAAAGAAACTTGTTAACAGTTCAAGTATAGGAACTGAAAAGATTTATTCATTTTCAATTTTTCCGCAATGCAATGAATTATAGCAAATTTAACTGAATCAATTTGAAGTGAGAATGGTTAAGTTATTGCATTTCAAGGGTAAGAATCGGACCAATAAATTCCACAACAAAAATAGTATTTTCTTTCTATTCCATTCATCATGTTTCTGTTTGGCAGAGAAAATTATTCTTCCTGATATACACAGTACTGGTGATTACCTACCCCGAATATACGGGAAGTTATACCGGCACATTCCCTGTTAGAATCTAAGAGTTCAAGTAAGGATCAACGTCAACTTGCTTTAATTTAGGAATAGTTCAGGAGAAACAAAGTTTACTGGATTACTCTTGGCATTACGACCTAGAGTTTCGAAAATTCAATGTTATTTTCCATCCGAAATGATGCATTGCCGAAAAAACTTGCTCCATGAAACGAAAACATCTTGGAGTTTGAATAGATCGAATAAAATAAGATGTGTTAGGTTTCCACTCAATTTACCCGCTGGATTCAGTCGTCATAAAGTTTCATTTCGAGTTTAATATAGTTCGAATATTTATAAATCGCAATATTTTGATATTCACATAATCTATATCAATGTACCTTGCATGTAAATGTAACTAGAGAGTTTGTTTAACCACAGCGTTTTGTCGTATTGAAAACATCGTTACTTGCACTGATGCAGCACGCAGCATACATTCTATATCCCATCAGTCTGAATACAGGTCGGAATTTGATGACAGAATCTGACTATCTGACCAGTTCTGCGATGAAAAGATAGATATCCATGTAATTACCTGTTCCTGCCTTTCATGAGGCAAGGTAGAATGATTAAAATATTGAAATTTACTCGGTGAACTGAATAAATTCTTTTTTTTTTCTTAATGTTTGTAATCATATATGTTCTGAATGACTCCTCTAAAAAGTCTTGAGAAAATTGGCAGGAATCATAATCAATCGTATGTTCTTTTGCATCATTTTTACACAGGACAATTCTGGAGTAGATGAACTGTATGAAGCAAAGTTCAGTATAATGCTTCATTACCCTTTATAAAGTGTCTGAACGTTCGAAAAGAGATCTTTTAAACATTTTTTCTGGCATTTTAATGATTGCATTTCTTTCATATCTATTTACAGACTATTATCAATAATCAGTTAGAAAGGGTGTTAATTTTGCATATTCTGTCAATTATTCGGGAGTACCGATTGATAGAAACTTTAATAAAGTGAAAATGTGATTCATCAAGTGTTCGAGAAATTTTCTAGACACACTTCGCCTGAAAATATAAAAAAACTCAAATTAATCCACAGAAAATAATTACACCAGTTGATCATCAAATTAAGGTAATGTACTCAATGAATTTATGAGAATATTTAACATGTTTCTCCAAAAGTTGTAAGAAACTGAATGAAAATAGTCAAGATTTCTTAGAGAAATGGGTACAGAAATGAAAAAAAATTATTGGTAGTAACAGCATGGTGGTTGGAAAAAGTTTATATACAGCAAGTAACTTACCAGCTGCCAGTAACAAGGAAGCCATACTGCATGCCTGGCCAACACACCACGTGGATATCGGTGGCAAGAGGTACTGCATTGTATCATAAATTCCCAATCCAGATGTTATTATCCCTCCAGGAGAATTGATGTACATATGAATGGGCCTCGTTGATGATTCCGCTTGCAGAAATAGTAACTGAGCGATGACTAGAGAACTGGTGACATCATTTATAGGCCCCATTAGACAAATTATCCTCTCCTTGAGCAGCCTTGAATATATATCGAAGGCTCTTTCTCCTCTGCCCGACTGTTCAACGACAATCGGGATATGGTGGAAGGACGGGACATTTGACATTGTGAATTGAGCGGTATTCGCTTTACTCTGGACCGCCTTTTGAAGGTGGGTCAGGAAACTTTTGAACATGTTGGTTTACTGGGATTTTGATGATCGTTCAAAATTGACAAATATTTTCAAAACCTGGAAACGTCAGAGTGACAGTTATTCAATGCTAGTGAAATGTGAAAAAATTCAAAAGCGATCACAGATAATTTTTTTTAAAGTATGTCCATTTAAGAAGTAGTTTCGTATTCAGGAAGACCACGGAGTGGGCGACATCTAAGTATAGTAATTCAATGTCAGACATATAAAAAAATGAGGGCGTCTTCCCTCACGAAGACGTCATCTATGGGAATTGGTTATTGTCATAAAGAACCGTAGCCCCACCAATATTAAAAAAATCGTTGTTACATATATCTATTGTAATATTCTCTCACAGAAATGAAACGGACAACTCATTATAATATTAAGTAAGTCCAGAAGGTATCGTTTGAAGAGATAGTTAAACATGCACAGCTTTCTTTAGGATTCTAAACTAGCAAAGAAATTTATGAAAACTGTTCAATGGCACGAGGATACTTCGGATACGATTATCATTTATGCGAGAGTTTTTATCGTTAAAATATCTTGAATGTTTTTTTTTAGCTGTTCACGAACGGCTCTAGAAAGTCTCGAAACTAGTGCAAGCTAAAGATTTTCGAGGTTGTATTCTTCAATGAGCGATTCCTATCAAGGGTCGGACAGTTTGCAGAACAATATAAAGTCCTAGAGTTGGACAGGTTCGTAATTTGTCTGAAGGCGTTTAACTCCAAAAACCATTAAAACCATGCCCGGTTTCATATCAAATATGCAATTCGGTGATTTTGCACAGGATTATTCTCTGACTTTCATAAGAACATGCGTAATATCAGCATTAAGTTTATTTTTTTCGTTACTATTATGATTTAAACAGTATTGAAGCTCATCATTTAGCAATTCTTATTTTCACGAACCCATGGAATATTTGCCACTTCCTACATAACCTAACTTTAAAACAACGCTTAAATTGGTTTCTCACCTAAATAATCATCAACACTTTCTTTTACCTTCTCGACCACCAAACACTAGACATTAGCTGTCTACTAATTAGTAATTATATTACTAGTAAGTACTGAAATATTAAACCGAATTTTAACAACAAATATAAAAGTCCACGCACTACGCAATGCGCACAGCATTACTTTCTCGGTTCTACTCGATCTCTCTTTCTAACTTCGTTATTTCATGGGTAATCCCTCAATAGTCCAGTAATTTATTGTAGCGTGAAGATTTACCAGTCCTTAGAAAAACAATTCAATACAATATGTGAATCAAAACTCTAACATAGCAACAGATAATTTAGTTTCCTAATTTGAAAAGATTATCGATTGGACTTGAAATTAGTAATGAATTTTGATTTCATATCAAACGTGCCTTTTTGTCATACATCAGTTATTGAAATTGGAAAATGCAATTATATTCTAAAATCTAAACAAAAAACAATAAAATTGAACAGGATACGTTTGAGATGTTTTTTAGTCCGCAACCTCAATCACTAAGATATTCAGAATAACTCATACCATAGAAACAGCAAGATCAACAATAATAATATTTAAGCAAGAATTGATGAATTCTACCGATGAAGCTATACGGTGATAGCGAAACTCATATAGAATGAAAATATCATTTGTGAAAATTGTTTTTTATTAAGTGAAGGGACATTGTTTTTATGATATTGACAATGTTGACAAGCATTTCGACATATAATCTTCAATTTGTTTTGGTTGGTTTCCAGGTATTGCCGTAGTCTTCTTTGGTAATAACCTCCAAACGTTTCGACTGCAACTGCAGCAGTCATCTTTAGTGGCGTTGTCGAATTACTCTTCTTGGCTTGTCATCTGACACGTACACGTATTTCGACCACGCAACTGAAGATGACTACCACATTTACAGTCGAAACGTTTGGATATTATAAACAAAGAAGACCACTGCCAAATCTGGAAACCAACCAAAATATTGATGCAGGCCGTGAAAGCCAACTATATTGATTTTAATTTCATGTTTCTACATGAAATTTAAGATCAATATCTGAAGCAACTGAAGTAAGGATTGAAGAGTATAAAAATTGCGGAAATGACCAATTCGGAATCGGAATCATAGTCAAAACACCGCTAATATAATATCATTCATGTTATATATTCCAATGAAAATGATGAATTTCATATCATCAATATGATAAATTTCAAACTTTCCACTTTCTGTTCTAACGGAGTTGAAAAAACATAAGACCATCATAGGAAATACACTCATTTCCCAAGTTTTTTCTGAATCTGACATATATATTTTTTTGTTTCTCGTCGAATAGATCAGAGTTCCCGGACTATTGGCAAGATCAGTATCTGAATTACTAGTGGAGTTCACGTTGTGTTTACGCTGCCGCTACCGTGACTATTACTATCCTATCTTGAGTCTCTATTGTCTAGACACAGAATAGTATACTATATGGTTTAGACTGGGATGGGTCATACGCTTTTAATAAAAAATATTTCACAGATATTGGGGTAATGTCACAGTGTTGAAATGCAAAGTTACAACAGTTATAATTTCCAAAACGTGGTAATGACTTCGATTGGCATTGGTTATAACTGAGTGGAGTTTACTTGTGGTATTTACTCTTCGCTTATTATATGCCTCTTCAATTTATTTTTACGTAACTGAAACGTGTTTCTGTTCTGACAGAGATTGCCTTAAGATGATTTTCTATCCAGCGGATGAAACGCTTTTTTCAAAACTATGATATTTTGTGGATAGTTTCAAAACATTTTGAGAACAGGAGCACCTTTGCGAATGTTTTTGAGTCCTATATGTGTTTGTTTGCGGACAGACAGTTGAAAATGCGTTGTTGTGTTTTTGTTCAGTGTAGTGAATAATGATGACAAAAAGAAATCTTCACTGAACATATTGTGATCCACATACCTTGGAGTACTTTATGTATGTACAATAAGTGTTCAACTGGTAAAACNTGAATTTTAACAACAAATATTAAAGTTCACGCACTATGCAATGCGCACATCATTACTTTCTCGGTTCTACCCGATCTCTGTTTCTAACTTCGTGATTTCACGGGTAATCCTTCTATAGTCCAGTAATTTATTGTAGCGTGAAGATTCACCAGTCCTTAAGAAAAACAATTGTATCGTCGAATACATTTCTTAATTTAACTCAAACATCTTATTCAATACAATATGTGAATTAAGACTCTAAAATAGCAAAAGATGATTTAATTTCCTAATTTGAAGAGATCATCGATTGGACCTGAAACTAGTAATGAATTTTGATTTCATATCAAACGTGCCTTTTTGTCATACATCAGTTATTGAAATTGTAAAATTCAATTATATTCTAAAATCTAAACAAAAACAATAAAATTGAACAGGATACGTTTGAGATGTTTTTTAGTCCGCAACCTCAATCACTAAGATATTCAGAATTACTCACACCATAGAAACAGCAAGATCAACAATAATAATATTTAAGCAAGTATTGATGAATTCTACCGATGAAGCTATGGCGAAAGCGAAACTCATCTAGAATAAAAATATTTTTTGTGAAAATTGTTTCATTATTATCATTATCTATGATTATGTTTTGAATTTTATTAAGGGAAATGTCGTTGTTTTCATGATATTGACAATGTTGACAAGCATTTCGACAAATAATCTTCAATTTGTTTTGGTTGGTTTCCAGGTTTTGCCGTAGTCTTCTTTGGTTATAATCTCCAAACGTTTCGACTGCAACTACAGCAGTCATATTCAGTGGCGTTGTCGAATTACCCTTCTTGACGTGTCAGTTGACATTTTTCTTGATGTGTCATCTGACACGTACACGTACTTCGAGCACGCAACTTAAGATGACTACCACATTTACAGTCGAAACGTTTGGACATTATGAACAAAGAAGACCACTGCCAAATCTGGAAACCAACCAAAATATTGACGCAGGCCGTGAAAGCCAACTTTTCTATATTGATCTTAAATTTCATGTTTCTACATCACTTTATTCCAAAGATTCCTTTGACTGATTTAGTATGGAAAATAGCAACTGAAGTAAGGACTGGAGAGTATAAAAATTACGGAAATGAACAATTCGAAATCGGAATCATAGAAAAAAATTGGAAATACACTTATTTCCCAAGTTTTTTTCTGAATATGGCATATATATTTTTCAGGTATTTTCATTGGGTATAAAAAAAAAATTTGTTGGAAAGTTTTCAAAAATGTATTTCTATTTTGCTTGCATTTGCCCGATTACAAATTTGAAACTTGAAGTTTCAACAGCGAATCCACAAATAATAGCAATGTAACGTCCCATTTTCCCTCCGACGACAGTTATCAACCTTGTGATTTTTGTCCTCTATGACAGCAATTTTGTTGAAAATTTTCATAAACCTATATGGCATTGTGAAGTTGTCAAAGCGTTAGTTCATATTCCATTGTTTCTCGTCGAATAGATCAGAGTTCCCGGACTATTGGCAAGATCAGTATCTGAATTACTAGTGGAGTTCACGTTGTGTTTACGCTGCCGCTATCGTGACTATTACTATCCTATCTCGAGTCTCTATTGTCTAGACACAGAATAGTATATATACTTCTTTTTCCAACGGCTGTCCAGTGTGTTTCACATATAGTAGATTTATTTGTTTTTTCAGTTTGAGTATTTCTTCTGCTTGAATTTTTATGTCCGTTGCTTGGCCGGTAACCCCTCCTGATGGTTGATGTATCATGATTCTGGAATTTGGCAATGAGTTTCTCATACCTTTTGTACCTGTGGAGAATGAAAATATTACAAACTCAATGTTTCGAACTTTAACTTGATATAGGTTAGGTTAGCTCCAAAGTGAATGGGTCTAACTTAATATAATATCTCGATTATGAATTATAGAAATATAAACACTTTGTAGTAGTGTTAAATCTACTAGTTGACATAGATGTTATAAGTGCTCATTAATTCATTTAATTTGTGTATTCCAGGTGAATACAGGTTCGAAACCGTCGACTAGCACATTGAAAAGCCAATCACTCAATTTCAATATTTGTTTTAAAGGAAAAAATACAAGCACTACAGGCTTGGCTAAACCGTTGTTGGACAACATATACGCGGCTTCTTTGAATTTTCTTTGAAAGTTAGCATTGCTGAGCACAAGAAACATACACAGAGAGAAGAAACCAGCAAATTCGGAATAGCAGAGCATGTTTGGACTCATCAACATAACATCAAGTGGGCTCAAGCTTAAATCATTCACAAGGAGGAACACTGGTTTAGGAGAAAATTCAAAGAAGCCGCGTATATGTTGTCCAACAACGCATTTAGCCAAGTTAGTGTAGAGATACGTAACATATGGAAACCTCTAATGAAGCGGAAAACGATCAACTCCCGCCAAACGATCTCCCGCTAAAACTAATGAAGCGGTGAGAGGGAAGAGAGGATAGGTGAAAGCACTCGAATGACCGGTAAATAGTCAGATCTCGAAGGAATAAGCCCAGTTATCACCCGAAGACGATTGTGGATACTAACATTCGAAACGTCGTGACATAACTTTGTTTGGAATCTTTTAATTTTTGATTTTCATATCTTGTTGATATTTTTTAATTTTTAAGCTTGTATTAATATTTCAATTTTTTCATTTTTTGGTTGTTGTTTGTATGTTATTTCCTTGTAATTTCAGGTTTTTGTTCGACAAAATTGATATTTTTCTGTTAATCTTTTTAATTTTGTACAGTTTCTTTCAGGGATTTCAAATCAATTTAAATTTAATTAGACAATGGAAGTCCGAACTGATGAAATACAGCATGAAACAAGCCCATTAAATGTGCCAAGACACTTGAACACCTCCCTTGAAAGTATCTATAAAAGAGTGACAAATCTTTCTTCGATGTTCCAGACTATCAAAGTTGCAAGTGATATTCACGTCTCCAATTAGGCGGATGGCTCTTTTCGGGGTGAAAACCAGCAGCTTCAGGGTATGCTTGGGGGCGAAGCTGCATGCATGAGAACAATACTCCAAAGAAGGTTTGATCTGAGCTTTATGAAGCATCGAAAGTTGCTGAGGTGTGTACAGTTTTCTGGTTCCGAACAGTGTTCCAAGCTTTTGAGAAGAAGTCTTTGCAATTCCAGCAACACCATTGTGCCAAGACGTATTGGTATCCATTTCAACCTC